CGTGCGTGCGTGCGTGCGTGCGTGCGTGCGTGCGTGCGTGCGTGCGTGTGTGAGAGAGAGAGCTAGACGTGTGTGTGTGTGAGAGAGAGAGAGAGCTAGAGGCGTGTGTGTGTGTGAGAGAGAGAGAGCTAGAGGGGTGAGAGGGAGAGAGGTGTGCGCGTGTGTGTGTGTGAAAGAAAGAGAGAGAGCGAGAGAGGACGGATGAAAGGATAGACGGCAGCAGTGCATATATTGTATATTTTCGGCAATCAGCAGAGCGTCCTGTTGCGCAATCATGCGTGTACGCGAGTCGCGCGATCACTGTGTGAGTGGATGTCCGGATGCGTAGCCTCTGCGAACTATTAATGCTGTGGTAAACGGATCAACTGATTGAGGCAATAGGGCTATATGAGGAGCCCTATTATCAATCAATATTATTGCATACCGCATCGCCGAGGGCACAAGAGTGCGCAAGAGTCGTTAGTAGCTGCCTATTGTTTTAAGTTAGGCGGGTTATGGAGTCGAGTTGCTGGCAACAGAATGGAGAATCGTGTCGTCCGTTTTAGTCTGTATCTCCGGATTGCGGGTGATACGAGGAAACGATTTGGCACGATGCTAGGCAAATGTACTGTGTACGATTTGAGCTCAAGTTGGTTGAGTTACTCCTAGTTAATCGCAGGTATTCTAAGGCTAGTAAATGACGAATTTCCCATGTTTATTGAAGTCACACTCCTTCCCTATTATCTACTTCTGATATATATATATATATGGGATGGAATGGAATTTGGAGGAGCTAAAAGAAATAGTGAAGTTGGATGCAATAGAAGAAGGGGATCAAGAATGTAGACGAGGCAGAGATATAGTCAATGTAGGACATTGATGAGGGGGAAAAAGTACAGTAATTTCTCTCGATTCTCTCCCTGTCCTTCGCCACATTTCCCCCTTCTTTACCTTCTCTACTCTAATTCTTTTGCTTTTCCAAGTTCTTCTTTATCTTTGCACTTGCCCACACGTCTACATCCCTTCTCTCTTCTATAGGGCATAGTAAGTAGTAAGTAAAAACTTTATTTAACGACGGTAAAACATGTTAGGTACAGACACAGTAAATTGGCGCGTACCTATCTTCCACATGGCCGTCTCAAAATGGTGTATGCCATGCAAGTTGAGCACAAATATGATTCTTTATTTTGAAAATTTGATTAAAGAAATTGTGTTGTTAATGTAAAGTTTATGGTTCTATATATATGATGCTGTGATGTTTCTAGTGAGGCCAAAACAAAATATAGGTGTGGTTACGGTGTCCCGACCGACCCTATTTATTCCCAGCAACCGTAAAAATTTTATTGAGTTTTAAAAATTAAAAATTTTAATTTTTTTATTTACAATTTTTTTAGTTCCTGCTTCAAAAGGCACAACGCACATCCTCCGGACATGGTTCGGATAATGCACTTTTAGAACATGATGATCGCTTTGCATCATGTTACATTATTTCATTACTAGCTAATCTGATTAGTGTAGTAGTGTGGCAAAGTCTTGCTTGCGAGACCGATGACCTCCTCTGTTAATCTCTAAAATTGATAACATTGTGGTATCTGTTACCTAGTTATTAAGCATCAGCCTTCTCTGTCGCATCTGCATATATACGTGCACTTATATACTTGTCACATCTGTCACGTTCCCACGGCAATGAAAGGTTGCCGAACAACCACCGTTTCGTCATTTTGCCACGTTTGCAAGCGTACACTATCGGCAACGACTATGTAGCTCGTTGACCTATGCACCACGGGAGTCTGTAACGGTATATTGTGCTCGGCTGCTTGCTGTGTACAGATTACACTCCTTACAGGAGTGCCCTTTGGTACACACGTAGCTTGCGTGAGCAGATGCCTCGTGGCAGCTAGCATTATAGTTAGACATGGAGGATATGGAAGGAGAGAATGCGATGCCTGACGCGTCTATGTTCGATCAGTTGACTGAGGAGCAGAGGGAGTGGGTTTTTAAAGCGATTAGGGAGAGTAAATCCGAGGCGGAAGAAGCGATTGCGGTGCCTGCGGTGCCGCAGCAGGAGTTCTGGACCTGGTTCATGTTAAACGTGTTGCCAGTGTTGTTCGCGGTGCTTGTCATGGGTAGGTGGCTCACCCATCCTCTCAACGACGTTCGCTCTCGGAGTTTAACCCTTTGGAATCAACGACTATTAACCAGAGCATCCGTGCGCAGTTTATGCGTTCACGTCCGTTTGACTTTCAGATGTTTGTCATGCGAGCTCACAATTCCCGAACAGTGTGTGCTCACATGAGTGCTGGCCGAAAAATATATCTGGCTGTCTATGTCCTGTGAGTTTGTCGTACGATGACTGTTCCCATGTCTGTTTGCTCCTACATGCCATATGTCTCTCCGTATGCTCCCTGCACTACTACGGTACCTAACGCATACGTTGTTTTACTTGCAGCCTTCTTCACCTACAAGCTTGTCATGCGTCTTCGTGACAAGGAGCGCAAGAAGGAGGAGAAGAAGAAGTTGAAGCAGCAGCGAAAGGAGAAGGAGAACCAGCCGAAGAAGAAGAAGTGAGAGGGATGCGCCGTTGCTAGCTAACAGATTATTTTTGATACCTAAGACAGTTGCTCGAGAGAGGTGGATGGCATGTGGATGACAGTGTGTATGCATGAAGGGACTACGAGGGACAAGGACATGTCGCCATGGCAACCAGTTGGCAAAACATCCCGATGGCACATGTGGGTTAGAGCATATGCCGTTGTTATTGCAGACACATACACGTGACGATTATCTATTGAATATGTTTGCCGTGTTGACACCTCTTAGTTTAATTTCTAGTTGTTTTTGAGAACAGGTATTAAACGCATACGAACAGTGCATTTAAGATTATGTTATGGTAATATCCAGGATATATTCAGCCAGTACTTTATGGACAAGCATCATTGCTACTCTGGTAACTGCAGATTTCTTTAGTCTATATGATAGGACTATTTGGTCGACTATTGTTCAGGTGATCCAACCTGCTTTGATGCCAATGACGGTATTGCTGTTGCAAATGTGTCCCGTAGCACAGTGCAGGGGGTGCTTCCACATGGCGTACATTTCAATCTCATAGGAATCTTGATGTTGTGAGAGTGGCACACTGGAAGACAAAATCGCTAGTGTGAAGATAATTAACTTATTATTGGTCCGCTGAGTAATTGTGTAGACTGCGTAAACTGTCACCAGGTGGCAGCATGGCCGTAACTACTGCGGCAAAATCTGTCATTGCTTGATATGTTTTGACAAACACTACCCTACTAAAGGAAACTGAAGGTGTATGGTAGAGGTAACAGTGAACGACTGGGGAGTAAAAAATTTCATGTTTACAGTGTTATCCGAACTTTGTCCTGTTTGCTCTCAGTTTTGTCAACAAAGCGTGTGGATGCACAAGAAACGTTTTTAAGCTAGTTTTCGTGTGTAATATCTTTCTAGCAGTTCTGTTTGTATGCAAAAGCTTTATCGGCCAATTTTTCAAGCTATTTATTACAAGAGCAACATCGTTACTATATGTTTATAGAATTCTTGCAGGTTTCATGTAGGCAGCATACGCCGTCAATCGTGGCAGTGCAGGGTTTCTTATACATAAGAGGCATAGTGGCGCAACGCCATTGTCAAATTTAACATCGCCGTTGTGAAAATGTTCCGGTATTTACCCGCCGTTGTCAAAATAATGTCAACTGTCAACCCAAAAATACATAGATCACCACGTGCTTCTGGCATATTTAGATTGCTATGTGTGGTTATTGCGTCATGTGAAGGGGGGTCTAAACTTTTCCGTTATTTCCTTTAAATCCATCATGCCCAGGTTTTTTTTTCCAAACTGGCCATTACCTCCTTCCTCTAATTTTCCCTCAGAAGAAACCCTGCAGTGTAAATTCCGGTGCTAAGAATAGTTGCACGAAATGACCGTGCAGCTATACAACATTACTTTGATCAGAAGTGAATAAAAAAACACTTGTTTATATTCACTTCTGCTTGGATTAATTGTGTATGAAGCCTAGCATTCCAATATAATGTGTGCACAAGTAAATACACTGGTATATTTTATGCACTTTTGAGTGATAACCCTGGAGGATCAATGCGTTGCTCACTCATGGTGTTAGGGTTTCACTTTGGGATAAGGTTAAGAGTTGGTGGTAAGATTGTGGTTATTGTTACGTATTATTACTCCATAATTCTAACCTTACCCTCATCGTGAGTTGGTCTATTGGCACTATTTAACACTGCATTTAGCTTCAAAATGGAAGCAATGGATTAGGTCACAGTGTTACCAGGAAGAACAGAGGAATATGTAATCAAGAATGAAAAATGGCACTGTGTCATCGCGTGGACGTAAATGGCTGAGGTGTTTCTGTGACTGGGCAAAAGGGAGGAAGGCACATAGAAAGCTACGTGGGTCACCGGTGGGAGGGAGGGTTGGGCGTTGTGATAATCACCAGGGTTTAGTGCAAACCTGTAGCCATTAATCAAAATGAGATTACAATACACCACCTGCAGGCTCTCATCGGTTATACAAACGGTGGGAGCCTATCAATGTGCCCACAGTCAGATAAGTGCTTGTGGTAGATTACCACTGGTCCTGGTTGTCCCGCCGTATCTCTAGCCAAGATAGTACTGCACGTGGGTCACTGTAATCATGTACATTATCGTTTACGTTATACTACAAGTTTTTCATGTGTTTGCACACATTGGGATCCTCACAGAAAAAGTTCCAGAGTTGGAAATGGGGGCAAGTAGTTTTGCAATTTGAGAAGGGTAAAGGAGCGAAAAGGGAATATTTGTTAATGAGTTGATCGATTATCCATCACATTTTTAACTGTATTTATTGTTAAGAAACAACTAAGAGAAATTTGCAGGTTTTATACTTCCATCATGTTGAAGTATAGGTAAACTAATGACGGGTTTGTTAATACAGGAATGCACATCTGGCACATTGCATTTAATTTAAGGATTTTAGTTGTATGTTGGCAAGGTGTTATATTTTGTATAAGTTGTTGATAACTATAGGCTTTTATTGATTTACTACTTAATATTTTGTAATAAATTTCCTGGTGTCAAGTCTTCTACCATTGTGTTTGGAAATTGTTAACACTAAAAAGTCTTGGAATGCTTAGCCTAGATCAGCCAGTCCCTGTGTGGATTTTGGTTTAGGTAATGTACCAATACTACGAATTTTGTATATTTAGGTTCGTCAGAATACGGATAATGTAGTAGTACTGTAGTATTACAGTTAACGGACATGTTGAAAATTTCAAATGGATATTTCGATATATACTTCAGCTTTAGTCTTTGTGAAGGGATGTAAATTTTTTTCCTGGTGTATTGGAAATTAAATTTTTTTAATTAAAAGTTGAATAAGTCTTATGTTTTCACAAGTTACATGTCACCCAATGAATAAAAAGAATTTTAAAAAGCCAACATCACCAAATAATACAAAAACAGCTTGTTACGGATAATCTACCACAGTTGGCATTCTATCATTCTGATTCACTTCCTGAAATTTACAGCTGTCAATAAATACAAACGTACACACAATGATACCAATTTACAAGGGTGATTTCGGTACTTCAAACCGTTCACGAGGGAGACCAGAAACTGCTATCAACATGTCGCGGCATTTCGTTGTTTATATGGAAAACAAAATGCTATAACGGTGGCATCCTTGACAACCGGAGCAGTCGTTTAAAATGGATAAACCTCGCAACAAAGCCTATATAGACATACTGTGAGCATACTTGCAGTGAGCCAGAAATGCGCTACAAACATTGGCATTTTCAAAATCGCATCCGACACGGTAATGTTACACAGCTAGCAGTAGCCCTACGCTAGCGCAAATAGTTCCTGGAACGAAAACACTATATTTGTTTCCTGATTACATAAGTAATATAGATTAAAATATGATTTAAACAAATTTTACAATTTTGTACTGAATAAACATCGAATAATATATTATAACTTGTTTTATCATAGAAAGGAACTGTTAATGAATCGAGCCGATCGCTCCACTGTGTCCCGGATGTGTAAACATCACTGTGGTGCTACTTTCGTAAGAGAAGTAATTTCGTTTAGCTTTTGAGAAGAAATATTACGAAAGTAGCAATACAAATGAGCTGTAGTGAATTTTTGCAACATATGCAAGCTCGCAGTAGGTATATATATGCATTTAGCTGCGAGGTTTATCCATTTTAAGAGCTGGGTTACGTCACCGACTGCCGTACATTCCAGTCGTATCCCGCACCGCGACTCCCTCGCCGGCCCTTGAGATTCCCATTACGCAGCGTTGCATTCATATCCCGTCTCCGAATATGAGTTCGAGTGCGGCCTGTACGTCGCCGTTGGTAACCTCGAGCGCGCGTCTGCTGATCGCGTCGTCTGTGATGCCCATGTCGCGCAGCGTTTGCAGCTGCACCTGTAAGCAAGCGAACCCCACATCAAGCACGATACCACAGCGTAGCGAGAGAGCAAAGACGATTTATATAAAAAATAAATATTAAATATATTATATTAAATTAATTATTTTTTTATTTTTTTATTATTTTTACATTTTAATTTTAATTTTATTTTTTATATATTATATATTTTATATATTATATTATATTATATTCATATTTTATATTTTATATCTTAATTTTTAATATTTCTTCTCAAGTGGTATAGGTAGAGCTTCTGAATTCCGATGTTTATAGGAAAATTGACCCTACAGGTAAAGTGTTGAGCCCTACAGGTAAGCCTAGGTGGAACGCTGAAAGTACGTGAGTGCACGTGCATTTCCGTGCAATTTCCTGTGTCGGTGGTAATTCTTGTTTGTCGTAAACTCGATGACTAGACAAAAGATGCCACTATTACTGACCTCGCCCCTCCCCCCGTGAAATGCTGTGACGAGCTACACGGGATGGGAAACAAGATATGAGAGGGGATTTTCAAGCAACGCACAAAGCTAATGTTTGCATTAGCTTGCATTGAACGCATGACTGCCATACTTCTCTCTCGTGTTCGCTTTGAGGCTGGCCACTAGTCGGAGGACCATGTGGGACCTGGCCCATTTCACTATCGGCATTAGCTTCACCAGGGGCTAGTCCAAGAGCCTGCTGCATAGCTTGATGGAACAAATCCGTCGTGATGACGCCACCCTACGAAACAATGAATATATCAATATATAATAAAATTATACATAATAAGTTCGGGCATGAGACTGAGCGAGGTACCAACACACACTTCACAGGGTCTTTATCGCAGTAAGACACTGTCCCTTCCTTTGAACATTGTTATTTGCAGTCCATACATAAATGTATTGCGCAGGCAATCAGTATTAGTGATCAAGCCTTCTAAACTTAATGTTCCTGCCTTACACGCAGTTTAGCCATGACCATGTGGGGTAGGCATAATTGGATGTAAACAAGCATATATAAGATGGACGCTGAAACACTGATAATATGAGGCTGCGATGACGGTATGTGTAGTTATGCAAAAAAGCAAAGACGTGATGCACTCACAGGTTGGGAAGTAGCTCCCGACGCTGTCGCAGATGCCAGTGCTGAAGCCAGCTGGGAGGATGTGATAGGTTGAGATGCCTGCATCAGTCAAGCAAACAGATTATTCCTCTGTATCGTTGCTATTCATAGTGTACATAACAACACTAGCATGCAAATCTAAGTGCAAATCTGGGAATCCAAGGGGTATGTTAACCTGCAGATATCTTGGGATCTCTAATCAGGACTAAGTAACTCAACACGGATTCATCAACCGAGAAGACAGATTCACAGTGTCCCTTGTATCACTCACAACTATTTATCCTAAAATTCAAACTAAAACTCAGCATACAGACATACAAATCTCTGGAAAAGGGGACATATTGTGTGCAATACTTTAATGTGTACAAAAGCATTTTATGAACACAGGTAGCTTACATCAAGATTATATAAATGCTCTTTTCAGATGTGCATGGAATTGTCAGATTGTAGGTAGGTTTGCTGGTTTATGACATAAAACATTCATTAAGATTAATCCTCTATCATGGGCTAATTACCTGTGCGGATGCTGCTGCAACATCATCATCATCATCTGACATCCTATCTAACGAGTAGGCATCTGAGAATAGAAGGAAATAAATGAAGTATCACGTCCAGCTCGATAAACCCTCGTGGGACTAGGGAACACCGGCGGAATAACGACTTGGGAGAGGCGAGAATTTGCAGCGAGACGTCAATTTCAGCAAATATTGGGCGAGGTGGATGAAAAAATCAGCGAGGCAGCCCGACTCGCGTATCATATACCAGGAATATAATATAATATAACCAGGTACACTGAGCATCATACTTAGAAAGGCCTAAAGCAACCTGGAGGCGAAACTCGGAGGCGGAATTCAAGAAGAAGGGCTACACCTGGAAGGAAATGGAGCGGAAGGCGACCAACCGAGCGACATGGAGAGAGTCTACAAATGACGTGTCTCCCAGGAGACTGCAGGGTTTCTACTCTACTAGCCCAACTCGCTTATTGTACACCAGGGGGAGCACTGAGCATCGTACCGGTCCTGCTGCCTGAGGGGCCAGCGCCGGCGGAGGCAGCGGTTGCTGTCTCCTCATTGATGGCCGAGGCAAGAGCGACAATCGCGAGGTAAAGCTCCGGGTGCATGTCGATGGTCCGCTGAATGTTCGTCGGGTCGGCGAGGAGCTCCACAAGTACAGGATCGTGCAGGATACCTGTGTACACACACGATCAAACCATGAGTACAGGATCGTTGCAGGTACCTGTGTTAATGTACACGATCAAAGCCATGAGGTACAGGATCGTGCAGGATACCTGTGTAATGCACACGATCAAACCATAAAGTCAGATCGTGCAGGATACCTGTGTATGCACACGATCAAACCATGAGTACAGGATCGTGCAGGATACCTGTGTATGCACACGATCAAACCATGAGTACAGGATCGTGCAGGATACTGTGTACGCACGAGATCAACATGAGTACAGGTCATGCAGGATACCTGTGTATGCATCTACGATCAAACCATGAGTACAGGATCATGCAGGATACCTGTGTACGCACACAGATCAAACCATGAGTACAGGATCGTGCAGAGATACCTGTGTATGTACACGATCAAAACCATTGAGTACATGAATCGTGCAGGATACCTGCATACACACACACGATCAAACCATGAGTACAGGATCGTGCAGGATACCTGTGTACGCACACGATCAAACCATGAGTACAGGATCGTGCAGGATACCTGTGTATGTACACGATCAAACCACATGAGTACAAGATCGTGCAGGATACCTGTGTATGTACACGATCAAACCATGAGTACAGGATCGTGCAGGATACCTGTGTACGGATACGATCAAACCATGAGTACAGGATCGTGCAGGATACCTGCATAGGTTAATGATCACACCATGAGTACAAGATCGTGCAGGATACCTGTGTACACACATCATCAAACCATGAGTACAGATCATGCAGGATACCTGTGTATGTACACGATCAAATCATGAGTACTGGATCGTGCAGGATACCTGTGTAGGTTAATGATCAAACCATGAGTACAGGATCGTGCAGGATACCTGCATAGGTTAATGATCAAACAATGAGTACAGGATCATGCAGGATACCTGTGTATGTACACGATCAAACCATAAGTACAGGATCATGCAGGATACTGTGTACGGACACGACCAAAACCATGAGTACAGGATCATGCAGGATACCTGCATAGGTTAATGATCACACCATGAGTACAGGATCATGTCTGCTTATATATACATCATAAAACCACGAGCAACATTAACATGGAAGATCTGATCTTACATTTTAATAGATTTCGAGGAGTTTACAAGTATAGCATCAGCAGTGTTACATTATCAGGTTTGACTCTATGGCTTGCAGATTTACAATAAGCTTTACCACCAATAAACCATCTACAATAATACAATTGTATTTAACGATATAAAAACACCGATTAGGTAAATATACTCACCAAGAGCTATGGGGTTGCTTGCCAGACCTGGAGTAGATGCACAAATATTGGCCATCACTTTAGGATTGGCCAACATTTGGTGAACCTGCAGAGTTTATAGCATAAATTTAAGTCAGAACAAGAAAGGGGATTGTGAATTAGCAATAAAAAAAGCACATTCTCTACAGTTAATTTCTTTCCAAACTTAATTTTAGTGCACCAGCTTCAAAGTGTAGTATTAACGTATACAGAAAGATATATATATAAAATAGTCATCATCCACACTACCATGTTTCTTGATGAAGGACTCAAGAATGCTGTTGAAGTGCAGTCACCAGTTCTTGGACTTCACCTTTTCAATGGTTTCTGCAATGTCAACAAAACACGAAAAAACCTTTCTTCATTACCATTTATTAAAAGTCGTCCCTTCACGTAAAACGGTGAATCACAGCTAAAGTTTTAAAAAACCATGGTATTTTGTCTGGGATGCATTATAACAGCTGGCCACTTGGAGCTATAAATAACTTGTCAGAAATGGTGATTATTCAGCAAATCTGGGGGTTGCAGGCACATTAGTACATCTAGCATCGCCACATCTATAGCACAACAATCCAAATATAGTAGAAGCTATAACTTTTATTGTCTCATACCTATTTCATGACCCCACACCTATTATTATTCCAATTCTGTAAGAAACCTGAATTTAAATACGTAGCATTATATCAAGAGCACATAATAGAGAAGAGTATGACACGGTTTTAACAGCGTTTTGCATAGTTTTCAACTTGTAAATATTCTATCAATATGTAAATAAATATATTCAAGCTTTACCTTGTTTTCGTCTATGATTCTCCTTAATCATATGACACCACAAATTTACCATGAAAATCGTATGTGTTCTTCAAAAAAGTTATTTGAATACGACACGGTTTCGCACAGTTTTTCATGCACGGATGCATGTTTTTAGACTAAACTTTCCATCGAGATTAGTGTTCTATTGTCTATTGACAGGAACTTTAGGGCCGTAAGTGATATTAGGCATCGAATTGTATTCAGTCTTGCAGCGTTTCCAGCAAGCTAAAAATAAATTTGCTCACGGCCAGCTAGCTAGCAGCTGATTCCCTTACGGCCCCAGCGTACCGTCATAGACAATAGAACGCTAATCCCATATCAAAGTTTGGTCTAAAACATGCATCACATGCGTAAAAACTGTGGCGAAACGCGTGTCGTATTCAAATAACTTTTTTGAAGCCACATACGATTTTCAGGTAATTTATGGTGTCATATGATTAAGGGAGAATCATAGACGAAACAAGGTAAAAGTTTGAATATATTTATTCACATATTGATAGAATATTTACAAGTTGTAAACTATGCAAAACGCTGTTAAAACCGTGTCATACTCTTCTCTATTATGCACTCTTGATTATAGCTGTATGTTAGGAATTACTGGTGAATAAGAAATTATCTTTGTTAATTATTTATTATGAAACATGAACATTTGTTTAATTAAATCAACACATTTGTAGAAAAACACATTATCTATCACCTTTCCAAAATGGTTTGCTTATACACATCCACAATGATAGTATCGGAAAAATATGTAATGTACATACATTATAAAAGTCCATAACTACATATGATAAGATATATATATACATGCTTCACCTTTGGTTTTTGCTTGGTCACATTTTCTTTGTAATGCATATATCGTAGCTCCTGCTTGTATATTGCATTGATCCACAGTGCTATTATCATCTAGCACATGTCCACAATAGGTTAACACTGAAAAAGTAGGTATATATACATAAAAACTATACTTGATTTTTTATTACATAAAACTTCAACAAGTGCCGCGCGAGCGACAGGCGCTCATCTAACGTCTACTGCGGTGACTCTGTGGTGGAGTGTGGGATTCTAGTAAACCCTGTTAGTCCCAAATGTGTTCACATACACGCCTAAACATGGGAATGCACAGGGATGGTATCAGGAACCTTCTCAAAGGAATGTTCGTTGGGATCGTTATGAAAAGTTGCCACAAGATGGCGCGTACGTTTAAGTGTCTTCAGATTAAAGATGGAAGCCTCTCATCGTACGTAGTACTTAGCAACAACTATTTCGCAAAACAGAGTAGGTAAGCACTCATCCATTTACCTACGCAAGCCTACAGGCTGCAAATTGCATAGAGAGCTGGCCACCTGTAACCAATTAACGCAGGCAAAAACTACACAGTACTATCACCAACACATGCACTGGCAGTAGCCACTGGCAGTGGCATACGTTACATGTAACATAACTGACAGTACAGAATGCCATAGAAATTATACGATTTAAGGAGCATAAACCTTCTTCAAGCAAATTTAGCCTTTGAAATTTCATTGTGACATTGTAGCCTCACACATCCAGGCATGTATAGATTCTACTAGCAAACCCAGCAGTCAAATTCTTTCTAACACAGTAACAGTTAACAAAATCCATGTTTAAATCCCTCCTTTGAGGGTCAAAAGGTTATCAGACACTTACTCTTCGCACCGTCAGTGAAAGCACATTTCATGGTCCTTTCAATAAAGCCATAAAATACTAGGTGCCACCGCCTGAAACAAAAAAAAGTTTCCAATCGCTGTTCTCGTCACACCATGTCCTCAGAAAATGTCTAAAATCTGCCCTGTGCCCTGACGACTTTGACCGGCCTGTGACTCCATTTTCGGCACAGTGATGGCTTTTCCTAACCATGATGCATATATCACCGACTATCAGCGAGCCTAGGTTCGAGCCGTTTTAGATTTGTGCCGCATTCTGCATTTTCCTCCTAATACCTTAAGTTAAGGAGTGAATGTTCCCCCTTCTTTTTACAACCTCTCGACGCTTTGACCTTTGACCCCAGCTTCGACATCCCAACTCGTTTTCGGATTACCACCCCCACGTCGCCGAATATCGTGAGACCGTACGTCGAGCGCTTAAGATTTTGTTGCCCAACTGTTGACGGACGGACGCTTCCGACGGACGGACGTTACGATCATTGGCGATTCTACAAGCTGCATCATGACTATGTCAGATGAGCTAAAAATAGGCGAACCCAAGGGGCATTGAGAAAGAGGTATCCTATCGTATAGTACACCGTATAGTATCGTATACCATGAAGTATCCCTTTTATGGCTTAATACAGTGCAGGACCATTGCCATATAATGAACTGAGATGTCAGTACTTTACATGTAAGGAAACCACATAGGATGCCATAAATGGTCTCCTGCTAGTCCTGAGATTCCAGGTAAGTGGTAACGACTCACTCAAACCCCAGGTTACAGTTGCTCAGATTCCTGGTTCCTGGTTACTTTACATGAAAGCACGCACGCATGTACGCACACACAACTTTGCTTTAGCTCACCCCACTACACTGCCACAAGGTGACAATGCCAATGCTCATAGCATTCCACTTACACCACTCAAAATTTCATCGCCCTTTTAGTCTTAATTACTACTACTAGTAGTACTAGTACAGTGTTTCCCTCGGCCAGAAAGGTCTGTGAGGTGGTAAATTTTTGTGTGGTGTGTTTGCGTGTTTCGAGGTCCTCGCAATGTGAGCAGTGCATGTGAACCACTGAGGGCGCAAAGCAACTCTGGCTGTGACCACCCACAGTGCCAATTTGGCTAAATGGGCTGACTACCTGGCTTTACCCAAGCTAAGTCACACCTCATGAAGAAGAAAAATAAGAAGAAGAATAAGAATAAGAATAAG